TATATATATATATATATATAAATCCTTGGCTCTGTAGAAAATGTAGCTGATTTAACAGTTAAAAAATAAGGAGGTAAGTAGTTCAATTTGTTCAGTTACGTGGTGGTGTAAATCAGTCTTTAGCAGAGTCTATTTTTGCTCTAGCATTACCAAACAAAAATAGTACTGTTCCTATTAATATATAAAATTTGTAATTAGGTAACGCTTAACCTTAACTAAAGAGTCCGTGGAACAATTATTTAATGATTAAAGTATCTCTGATTTAGACACAAGTACAATAGTTTTTTATCGGGTCTCAGAAATCAACTACTGCTTGGTAGCGTTTGCTCAGTGACAGAGAGAGGAAGAGTGGATCTGCTGTGCCCAGGAGACAAGATGGAAGAGAAGCAGGGCCTGGAACAATGGGAGGTGGCATCGAGCCCCTGTTCCCGCGGTGTAGAGATGAAGTCGGGATCATTCTGAGAGGATAGTTTGTAAAGAGTATTTTGGACGTGAACAGAGTTTCAGAGACGGTCATGAACTTTAAGGTAGAAGTTGAGGGCGGGATTCTGAATGTGGTTGTTAAAGTCAGGTTCAGATCAGTGAGCAGCACTTTGGTTTTATGCCCATAGAAAGTTCTACAGATGTGATTTTTCACTTCCACAGGGATGGTAGAAAAGTTGAGAAGGTCATAAGGAGTTGCATTCTGCCTTTGTGGATTTACAGAAAGCACATGATAGGGTGCTGAGGGAGGGACGGGGGTGCTGTCTGAGACAGGCAGGAGTAGCAGAGAAGTATGCCATAGTGGTTTAGGACATGTATACGACCAACGGGACAGTAGTTAGGGGCAGAGTGGGCTTACACCAGGGATCAACTCTAGTGACGGACAAGTTGACCGATTCATTCAGGCAGGGGGGCTCCATGGACCCTGATGGAAATAACACTGTAGTCTTTGGTGACGACAGGGAGCAGGTGGAAGAACAACTGGACAAACAGAAGTTTGCTTTGTAGTAAATTGTAATGAAAGTACAGTAGGAGTAAGAAAAAAATAAATGTGTGTCAACAAAAGTGAAAAGATAGAGGTGTAGAAGCTTCAGCTTGATAACTACAGGTACCATCAACCATCCACAACAAAGAAGTGAAGAACAGAAACAGGCAGGTTGGAGTGGATGGAGATGAGTGTGAGGTGTGAAGACGACAGTTAGGACATATGAAATCATAAAATATAGAAGAAGAAATAAGAATTATCATTACTCTGCACACCTGGAGCCGCCATTACGATTATTTTCACTATGATTATTATGACTATAATTGCTGTTAATACTGTAGTTTCAGTCTGGGGTCTGGCCCAGTTAGCTTCATACACAAACGAATGAACATTCTTCTTTACATCTACTCTGACTTTATCACAAAAACAATTACAGTGAGAGACTTTAACACTTATTGAGTGACTTTTTTATATACCATACACAGATACACTGATTCTTGGGGTCGTGTTTCAACCCCAAATAACAAATTATATTAGGCGTTTACATACATGTTATTTGGCATTTGTGGATTTAAAAAAACAGTAAAAAGACTAAACACATCTGATGGTAGGATTCTCAGGGAACGGAGCTGTAATTGAAGGAGAAAGTGACAACCTGGCAAATCTCCCCTTCACAGCCCGCAGCTGAACATTACCTTGGATTAGAAGGATGAGTTTTCATGAAAGCTTCATCAAGTCCTTCCCTACAGCCTCTGCTCACACACCTTTGTTTGGCACCATGACCCACAGGCCACTGGGATTATTGAAATGTAGGAAGTCTCACCCACCTCACCCTTTCCTTCATTTCTCACCCTCTCTTCTTTTGTATCAGCTACAGTCAAACTCTCCTTGAACCTATGAAGACCTCGGCTAATTAGTGAGGTGTACAACCTTTCTGACTGCCTCATTATTCCTGTCCTACCACTCCGTGACTCTCAAACTCGTCCTTGGATTCCTAACCATTTATTTGATTTTCTTTTAACCATAGATTCTTGTGATTCTCACCAGGAGTTACAAAAAAAAACTACAACTGGAACTACAAACAGATCATCAGGGCACTGGGATCAGAAGGATTTGCATAGAATGTAATATTTGGAAAACACAACAAAAAGGATTTCCATGATCATGACATCAAAACTCCATCCAGCTGATGTGTGTGTGTGTGTGTGTGTGTGAGAATTGACACCACTTGGCAATTTTTTTTCACTCTCTCAGTAGAGGAAATCCCATATGGCAGATTTGAAACATATATTTTATTTCCTATCTTAAAGTTCTTTTCTTATTAAGTTTATTATGTTACGTTAATGCTATAAAATAGCAATCCTTTATCAATAAAATAATTAATCTATTTTTAGTTAATACTGGAATTAATTAACCATTTAAAAAAAATCAAAGGCTGCATTTACACTGATAACTACTGTGTTGTTAAGGAAGTCATTTCCTGCTCTTTACTACATGTACTAATGATCAAAATGTAAACATGTTAATAAAATAACTATCCCCTGTTACGTGAATACACACATGTCACATATTTGTGACCTGCTATTGAAGTACCGTTTGACCTTAGTATTAATAACCTTTAATCACAATTTACAGAAAGACCATTTAAATATTATTTTCATACTGCAGCTAGAAGGTACAGCATGTGTTTTTTCTAAAGCAAAAAGTAAGGACGTGGCCAGGAGACAATCCCATTTCTGTAGGACACAGGGGTCGCAACCTGCTACTGTCCATTAGATCGTCTAAGAAAATAAATCCAGACGATTCAGAGAAGATTCGATCATTTTAAAAGGTCACAGCACGTACACATGTTGGGTTAAGTTCCTGAACCTTCAAAAAGGCCAAATCACAGTTCAGTGCTTGAGAAAAATACAATTATAAAACTTGTCACAGACGTTTGAGGCCTCGGAGAGACAAACGTTTAAATCCTAGCATCTGTCTGTTCTGGATTTACGCTGGTTTCTGGTAAATAAACTTTTTTTTCTGAGGGTTCTTAAAGGAGTTTTTAAGGAATAACAGGAAGTACTTCGATGTCTCCAACAAATCTAGGTTTGTCAAAGCAGGACCAGGGTTGGTAAAAATGAATGGTATATATTTGTTTGTCCTTACTTGTCCCAAATAATAAATATTTAGGGACACACCAAAGATGTTCAAAGGCAGGGGTTAGTTTCTGTGATGATGAAAGAGTTTCCACAGTATTCACTGCCGACGGTGTCTCCTTTGATTAATGTTTAAAGCAGAGCCTTACAGCATCATCTGCTGAAAACACTAGGTTTTATGCTAGTGTTTTGTGGCTAAAACTCTTTTTGAAAACTCTTTTTTCGGTCAAATAAATAAATCATTGTGAGTAGAATAAGTGAGCTGATAGTTGAAGGCTGTCAGGGATGTTATGGTACAGAGATGTTGGAGGAGAGGAGCTAAAAGAGCTGGGACCTCATCGTGCTTCCCTTGCACAGATACAGAAGTTTCTTTTCTTAAGAAAGTACCAGACTGAAGACCAACTAACTACTGTATCTGTTCCACTGATCTCATTTCTTATTAATTTCTAAACAAATAACTTCTGCTTTAACACGATCACCTGAAGTCACGAGGAACAACAACTAACAGAGTTAAAGAAAATTTAGTTTAACTCTGCGGCACAAGTCAATTATTTTCTAATGTTGGAAATGTTTTTTTTTTAACAATTGAACCCCCTGAGTTACTTCCACTGCTGATTGACACTTAGTCACTCACCACATTCAAATTCAAAGCACAGCCTTATTTCCTGTGATGAAACGTCGCAGCAGGTGCCAGACAACATCTCCAAAAGTCAACTGGGATCAGAGGAAGAGGAGGGACTTGTAACAGGTACAGAAAGTATGAGCCTCAAGATCATTGATTTTTATTTGTCATATACACCTGAACTAGTATAGAACCTGCTGCTCAGCTGCTAAATCACGGCCAGTTTGACCGTCGGGTTTCATTCAACAACATGCAGTGGAAGAGAATGTGATGTTTGTATGTGAGACAGTGTGAAGGTGTTGCAGTAAAGGCCACTGTCTGCTGACTTCTGACATGTCAGCTCATCATTTTGTCATCCACTTCATGGCTCACACAGACCACGTTAACCATTATGCATACACACACACACCCACACACACTGCTGTCAGCTGTATTGATTTTAGGGTGGCCGGGAGATGAACCTGTCATGGCCAACACTGATCGTACTGGAGGATAATGAAGTTTTCCTTCCCAGTTTGACAGCCTCCGAGTGTGTGTGTGTGTGTGTGTGTGTGTGTGGATGCGTGCATGACTGTGTGTTTATTTGTGAGGGAGACAGAGTAAGAGAAAGAAAAACAGAGGAGATGCTCCTCGGACAACTCACTGTGCTAACCAGTGTCTGAATAAATTGGACAGAAAGAACCCTCTTGCGCCGAACACCTGATCTGTCATGATGTGATCTAAACGAAGCTCCTTCCTTCTCCCCAGCCGCAGCCACACACACACGTACACACACACACACACACCTAAATACAAAACTGAACAGAACACATCTTAATCTTCCCTAACGAGAACAAAAAACAACAGGAAATATTTTTGTTCTCTCTCTCTCTCTCTCTTTCTTTACACCTTTTCACTTTCCTCTAAGATGTTTCTTTTTCAGTCCTACAAACGTTCACCTCAGTATGTCAGGTTCTGTGTTAGAAATGCAGTTTAAATGTAAAAAAAAAAGGAGTCTGCTTGAGCTTGAGATTAAACAAAACAAACAAATGCATTATTTTACCCAGCATTCACATGCTGCCATGTCTTTACATTTAGTGGAGGATTTTATTTCTTAAAACTACAAACTGTAAACTCTGTTTAAACTGTCTAGTAAGAGTCATAACAGCAGCTGCTGTAACCTGTTGTAATTTTCTGCAATTACTTCATATTCTTTCATAATCTCCTGACGATCAGTCACACTCCCACTCAGACTAAGGTCAATTTGGAGAATCTGATGAACCTAATGCCTTAATGAACATGTTTTTTTTTTTAAGAAAGATTTTTGCTAAAGAATCAACCAATGTTTTATAAAAAAAAATATCTGTACTGATTAATCATCTGTGTCAAAAACCAACAGGCCACACTAGTTTTCCAGTAGCTGTGGCTACAGTTAGACAGTTAGCTACAATGAGAGTATAAAATATTAAGACTGAAAAGATTTGACTTTTCCCTCTGACTTCATACCTGAGAAGTGGTTTTCTTTAAGATCCTCATCTTTGTTTTTTTAGGGGAGGACATAAAGATAGTGCATCTGTTCTTCCTGGCTGCCATTCAATAACATCTCTTCTGTTGTATGGACTCTAAGCTGCCACAGCTGGGGGACTCAGGGATGACAGTGGCGACTTACTGCTGGAATCCTAATTCATCACCGTACCCATTATGATGTAGCATCATCATATGCTAATACGGTATCATTGTCCCCCCGTCATCCATTCTTTTCTTCTTTCATCTCTGTCCCTTCAGACGCTCAACGTCTTCCACTGCCTTAAAATATGTAAGATAAATGTGCCTTGCAGCCAATGACAGGAGACTGGAGTTCATGTGGTGCTGACCTACTGACCACTGTCACCGAGTCTGGCTCTTGATTTCACTAAGACATTCACCTTTTATCCAAGAGAGTTTGTCCACTGTTCTCTGCTCCACTCTCTGTTGCTGTTCTTGTGTGTCACTTACTGTAGACAAACAAAGTGAAGTTGGTCCGCTAACTTAGCCAAGCAGTTTGACGGCAAAGGACGATACTCCTGACCTTCACTTCTGCGTGTGATTCCTGCTCACCGCTACCTAGACCTACACCACCTCAGTGGAGCCGACTTCAGAGTCAGAGCTGTTAGTGTCACATTTAAACTAAAACAGGATTTCCAGTGGTTTGATTGATGAATTTGAATCAGCTGTACTTTTGAACCTTACCCCATGTGATGGATATGTTTGCCAGCCCCAGTCTCCTGTGATTGTTGTGGTGTCGAGTAGATTCACTGCAGACAGAGAGGAGACGATTAGAACAACAGAAACAGAGAGTTATACACACCATTCTAACAACTCTATGACTCTCCACAGTCAGTCAGTAGTTGGTCTGTACATAAACATGTGAGGTCTCATGATCTATAATGACATTTTATACAGTGGTATATACAGTACCAGTGCCTTTAACATGGATACATAAAAACTAAAATCATTTTTGAATACATTTGTACTTTAAAATAGTCTGATATTTCTGATGTATAAATGTTTTCATTTGTAGCCATGAAAACAGAAAGAAACAGAAAATGTCAAAAAGAGAATTATAGTCAGATGTATAAGTTACAGTCAGTTAGTTAAGAGCAAACAGGTGCTAACAGTTGCCCGGTTTCTTAACACGGTCACTTAGTGAGGTAACCATGTAGCCAAAGGGCTGGGTAACAGCCAAACTCAAGCGAACGCACTTTCACACTGTGGCAAAAGTGAGTACAGACCCATAAAATATCCAGCAGTGCCAGAACAGGCGAAACTGCTCAGCCACTGCCCAAAACAAGTCTGGCAAAAAGTGCCTTTCACAGAAGAATCACAGTTTTGCCTTAACATGGAAAACATGGCCAAGCAACTCGGCCGTGAACAAAAACATAAAAAGTGGGCTGAAAAAAAAAAGACTGCAGGGCATTGGACTAATGAGCCAAAATTGAAAATATCTTGCTGTGGCAGAATACAGTTTGTTCACTAAAGAACTGGAGAGTGAAACAACAAATGTCTGCAGGCATGTCTGAAAATGTAGTTTAAAATTGGATCTGGATTAATGTTTCCCACACGCTGAAAAATTGCAATCAAATACGAATCCATCATGAAACAGCAGATGTATTGGAGCTGGGTGCATGATCTTTAAGCACTAATGGACAGAACAATAAAAACAAAAAAATAGTTGATATTTTCCAAGTTCTATCCATCATTTATTGAGATAAAACTTTTCCCTCTGTATTTGTTTCATATTTTGCTGTTTTTAACATTCAGTTTTACATTCAGTCGTATGTGACAAATTTGATGCATTCCAACTAAAATTAAAAAATAAAAATCTGTGACCTTCCCATCGTCAAAAAGACGACATTTTAAACACAGTATTCCACAAGACATTTTCTTCTCTTAGGACATGCATTATTGATCTGATAAATTCTTCATTGATGTTTGGCTGCAGCCCAGCTGCCTGCAACCATACTGTAGATGGCCTACATCAAAAAGCTCAATCTGAATCCAACCATTTCATCAGACCTTTCTTTATTAGAATCGGCCGTTTATGAAATGCTCACATACGTATGTGTGTAGTTTATGAAATGCTCACATACGTATGTGGAGCCTAAAAAACTGCAGTGTAAAAAAAGTGCTGCTTTATTATGTATACTATATACTGTAGATACTGCAGTATACAGTGTTAGTAGTTTCAGCCGGACTTTCGTGATGATGTTCAAGTTATTGCTCAGAGATCATTAAAATTGACTTGAAGAATCTCAGTTGACCCCAGGGTCTGGAAGTGATGACACATGGGTCCTCAACATTCAGAAATCACCCCCTTGTAAGACACTAATTGGGATGAAGTATTGCACATGACTATTTAGGTTTATCAAGACAGGAACGGTTTTGCATAAAATATTTAGCCAAACATTGGCCTCGTGAGTTTAAATTTCTCTTTTCTTCTCTCAGAAACACACATCCACCAGCATTCACATGCGATTTTCTGGAGTGTCACTTTTCCTAATTTGGGCCTTGGGCCGTTGATGAGGGCAATGGGTCAGAACACACAGACAGATGGCAGTGCCACCATCCTCTCACCCCCCCTTTCCCCCCCTTCTACCAGCCTTCTGTCTGTGTCTCCCTCCCTACGGGTGCTGATGTCCTGTCGTCTTGTATTGATGATGCAGTGACTTCTCGCACACAGCAACTAAGGTCACAAATGGGATGCAGACAATTACACTGGTGTGAGCGCCTCTCATCAGTCAGGCAAAGTGACGTGATAAGAGCAGCGCGCTGGTGTCGACTGATTCAATTCCACTGCTCACCTGGGGAATTTGTTCTGCTATGTTGCTGTTTAAACAAAATATATTAAGAAATGATCCAAACACACGTGTGGGTGTGTTATCACGGCAGACCCAGTGACTGAAGAGCCGGTCCCCGTGGTGTTCATTTAACCAGCACTCAACTGAGGGATCCCTGTCAAGGGTGATGACAGTCACCGAGCAGTAACTTGAACTACGGCAACAACACTGTGTCAACTGTCATGTGCCTCCTTCTGCAACTTTGGATTTTAATTCACTAATGTGAATGACTGTGTTTACAGTATGTTAGTGATGCATGTTACGACATTTAAATCACACATCAATGAACCATTTGAATTTGATTAAGAGTGTCGTATCATATATTCCCTTCAAGGTCTGCAATTCTAAAGAACAGGAACAGTATTAGAAATGGTCGTGACCACGTAACACACACACACACACACACGCTCTTTGGCTAGACAGTGACTATGACGGTGATGTAATTATTTCATCAACACCTTCTCTTTCTAAAAAGCTTTTTCTTTAAAAATCAACGCCCAGAGAAGGCTGAATTAAAACAGAACCTTGAATCAGACACACACAGTAAGACACTCATCTCTGATCAGGTTTCATCATAGTGTGTTTAACAAGCCCAAATCTTCAATTTAAAAAATAACAAATCCTAGTTAGACACAAAGAATGTTGCTTACATGTGTTTCAAGCATAAAAGTCAAGGCAAAACTTCTCTGTAAATACTGAAATGATCATTTGAACCATATATTTGATACCTGTTCATATTTTTAAAAACTGCAGTAGAGTTACCTGTAGTTTATTATGTATATTAAAATAACAGATAGCTAAAAAAAAATCAAAAATTCTCAAATTTATATGAACTATTTTTATTCAAAATAAATGGTTAATTATTAGAATAAACTATCAAATGTGCACCAAACATTTGTGTGGTCCAGTTATGGTCAGTATATTTATTTAAAGAAACAACAGTCTTGCACCTAAAGTCTAATTTTTCTGCTGAGTTTTGCCCATTTTCAGAATGGTAAAATGAAATAAGAAAGTGTTATCTCCTTTTCACATTAAATGTCAAACTTCTTTCTTTCAACGTACATCTCATATTGGTTTCATTTTCCCCGTAGGAATCATTAAAGCCTCATCTTATTACCTCCACACCTCAACACAACATCTTCCCTCCTATTCCTTCTCCTGCTCTCATCTCTCCCAAAGCTCTAGCTAAGGTTTTATCCCAGGAGGCTCGTCTTTTTCTCACAGCTTTTCTGTTGCGGTGCATTTTGTCCTTCAGCAACATAGAAAGACAGGGAGAAGACCGCTGCATGACTTACTGACTTAATCTCATTACTCATTTTACCTCTACCCTTTGACCTGTGAACAGAGTTACACGGCAGAGTTGTTAGAATCATCCTCTACAGAACAGAAAATACAGTGATACGTCACGATCAGTCTCAGCGTGCTTTAGTACGGCTTGTCCAGTCTTGAAAGATGTAAATAAATTAGGAAATATTTAAACTTTGTCTACAAAAATGTGCATCCCAGCGTGTTTATTGTTAACGTTGCTCATCCTACTGCACTCACATGCTGTTCATTTATACATTCCAAAACAAATCATATACACCAAAGTATCAAAGTCAGCCTGGCTGTAAACGCTGTACTTCATTGTGCATCAGCCTAATACTCTGAATAAGGGACGGTCTTTGTACTCCAAATAACAGTGTGTTCCAGAGATGTACTGAGAGGAACGTTCTCTCACTCCCCCTCCCTGTTCACCACTGAGTAAATACAAAATGTATTTGGGTAAAAAAAAATCGTATAGTACAGTAAAAAAGAAAAAAATTCAAAAAGCATATTTTTCCCTGTCAAAACCCTAGACATGAACCCACCACAAACCAATCTGGAAATTAAAGTGTCTGACAGAGATGATTATGATGATGTAGAACAGGACGACCACATCATACGATTCAAATGACCAGGCTAAAGTGATCTACCTGAACTGTAAATGTTAAATATATATTTACTCAGATAAACTGAGCATTTTATATATATATATATATATTATGTTGGGGTCAAAGTAATTGCTATAATCCACCACAATCCCTTTGCGATCTACAGGTAGGCCATGATCTACCGTGATCTAGGTCACACACACTCAGGAAAGAGCAGTAAAAGCTCAGAAGAGCTGGAGGACCCAAAGCATGAATTTGTTTGTTTTTTTTTTAACTTTTCATTCAATTAATTTTTTTTTTTTTACCGTCTGCCTTCCAGCACCTTACCAAGAGCGTGTGTGTGTGGCTCGTTCTAATGTTGGACATGTTGAAGGAGATGCCAAAGATGCCAGAGAAGATAAAATGGTAACGCTCTGGCAGCGGCACAGAGATGGTTTAAAAATGTTTTAAATTGAATTTATAAAATAAAGCTGTATAAGAACTCTTCCTAACTTCTGTATTACATGTATTCATACGATGTACTGAATTAAATGCAGAGAATTGGAGTGTACATATAAATATATGTGTGTGTGTGTGTGTGTGTATAAATATATGTTCTTCCATTTAATTTTAGTATTAAAACGTCCTAACACTGATGTACCGATGTAGAGGACCTTGCTGCCCATTACTGGTTGAACAAATTTACTACATGAAAAATGCCGTGCAAATACTTAGCCATAGCCATGAATGTAGTACTACTAAAAGTTTGCGGTTTAACAAAAACAAATCCAGAAATTGGGCCATCTATTACTGTATATCACTTATGGACCGGCAGCATCTGTATGGACTGAGTATTTTTTTGGTCTAAGTATTTTTACACTGGAAACACAACAGCGCACCTCATGGCCACAGCAGCATCCAAAATTCATATGGAAATGAATCAGGAAACTGTGCACTGAGCAACTTTTCTATAATATCAGCATAAAATGCAGAAGAGACAGCACTTTTTCAAGAGGAAAAAATAAA